AGGGACAGCGCAGGAGGGAAAGACCCTCTATGAGGTGGATTGATTCAGTGACTGGGGTAATCGGGATGGGTGTGTCAGAGGCAATGAGATTGGCAGAAGATAGAGCAGGGTTTAGGGCTGTTGTACATAGGGTCACTATGAGTTGCAAATTACTTGATGGCACATAATAACAACAACAACAATGCTCAATTTAGAACAACAGAATAGTAGCTTTCTTCCCATCTAAAATTTCACTTCTGCAAACACTGATTGAGCACAGAGCTCAAATGAACTCCTCTGGAGGGAAAATGAGGTCTCTCAACCTTACATTAGAAGGGTGGACAAATCAAAGTCTGGTAATAGTAGCCACAGTCTTCCATAACATGCCTATGCCCTGGTATGGTTTATAGCAGTAAAGCAGATGTCCAACATACTTAAAGTCTAGCTTGTGGCTCCAAAACTTTAAGGCAAGCCCAGTGTGATTACTCATGAATTTCACGAGCAATCAGCACTGAGGTTGGAGCTTGGTCCCTGCACCATAATGACCTGCCTCAGCTTCCTATAAGAATGTACTGTTACCTGGTCTCCTGCACCGACGTCCTCTTCATTTCTGTCCAGGTGAACACACTGTGCAATATCAGGTGACTGTTGCTCCAAAGCCACCAGCACATTGCAGGTCTTGAAGTCAAAGCCTGAACGAAGAGAAGCAACTTGCTTGGGCACTTGCAAAAAAGATATCTATACTCCCTTATAAACCTAGAATCCTCTATAACTCATGCAGAGTAAGTGAATGCCTTGAATAAGCTCTGCAAACACAAGCACATAAAATATTAGTTGAACTGACATTTTACTCTCTCACTTACAAAGATATAGATGTAGTCACTACTGTTATTTTGACCCACAATGGTACTACATGTCATACCTAATGACCACTAAGTAACAGGGGCCAAAAATTAGCAAATTCAAACCTCTTTGAAAGGCTCCACTTCACTGCAAATACTTAAAATAGTGAGTTCAGGGAATCCAAAGAGAGTCAATTGAGACTCAAAGGGATTTTTTCTTAAAAACCTGGAATTGTCTATGTCAGAATCCATCATTTAAGAACTGGGAGATATGCCCTACACAGGAGTCCTCCACTGGAAGTCCATACACACAGGTTTTCAGCATCTACCATGATATGTGGATCTTCTTATGTCAACCTTTTCCTACACAGTCCTACTTCTTAGATTCTGCTTCATACCCCTCATTTCTCTCCTACCTGGTACCAGTGTACCCTGTCAGGCCTGTTTCTCTCCTCTGGCTTCAAGTTACCCATTGTGGAGTACTGATGGAGACTTGGGATGCCTTCCCTTAGCTCAGAGTCATGCAGTCATGCCTAACCCGGTCTTCAGCTTGGCCCATGTGCCTGATAACAGTGCCAGTGATGCACTATGCCATCATCTCTTTATGCCTATAGTGTCATCATTAGTTGGAAATCCAAGAGTCTTCAACTTAGTCTTCTACTCACTGATCTTGTTACCTCATATAAACACTTTTATTTCCTTACCTGCGTAAGTATGCCAGATTCAAAAAGATTAAACAAGATAGTACATACAGTGTTTATATTCAGTACAGAGATGATGTATCAACAAAGTTCTCAGAACTTCTTTTCTTCTAAAGCAGCCTTACAAGCCCCTAGACAATTTTAGTGACCTAAACAAGAACGGTGCAATAGCATTGGGTGTGTGCCCATTCAAATAGTCTAGTGGCTTCTACCAGAGCCTTTAATGGTGTGCAGGCTGGAAGATGGAAAGAGTCCAGTATACTTTCCCAGTATTATTTTCATATCCACAGACAAGGAGCTCAGATTTTACATGGGTGATATAGGTAGTCTCTCTTGCATATTTTAACACCCACACTGACCCAGAGGCCCTTCTAACCCAGAGGCCACACCTTTGGCAGAGTCATCATAGCCAATGTGTTTGATGGTATCTCTCACTACTCGCTGGTAATCTACCATGGCCATGGAAGTGATCTCCCCACACAGCAGCACCATACCCGTCTTACACACAGTCTCTGCAAGAGAAGAGGAAGGAGGTCAGGGGCCGCATATCAGAAAGGAGGTACATATACCTAGTCAACTGATAAAGGGACCCATACAGAACTTATGAGGAATACATTCTAGAACTAATGTGATAATGCTAGGAAAAATATATCTCAACTTTAAGCACTAGCTATCTTCCAATGCTGTCTGTAATATACAACTTTGGGAAGAACTGGACATACTAGAGACTTTGAACTAACTCTGGGTACTTATGTGATCTTTCACAAGCTATTGAATCTCCCGCAGGCCTCCATTTCCTCTACAGTAGAGGAAGATAATATACCATGTAAGGATTGAAGTGAGAAACTGAGAAGGTAGTAAACTTAAGTTCCTCTCATCCCCAGCATTAAAGCTCCATTGCAAGCTTGAGGGATGGAAGACCCAGGAAGTAAAGCTGGGTCTATGCACAACAGTAAAGAGAATAAATCTTGAGCCTGTGTCAGCTACGTTTCCCTGCCTGAAAGCTGTAGCAAGCTTTGTTGCTGTGGATACCCTTTATGATCCATTAAAAATTTGAGAAGCTAGGTCTGTTCACCTCTGGAATTTTCTAGGCTTTGTGTCCCTGACTTTGTTGCTGTGCCTGATGAAGGTTCATTTGTAAGAGGATGTATCCCCAAAAGAAAAATTAAGGTCCCTACCTACATGAATTTCCATGAAATTATGAATGATGTATATGCAAAAGAGAATGTCAGTGCTTTAATTTAACTAAAAGACCCCTTGGGAAAGCTATTGACTCAACTGATGAATATTCTACCCTCCAGATGTTGTTAAACTGGAGAAATAACTTACCCATGCCTTCAATTAGGTAAGAGAATAATGGAATGAGCCACACTTCTGTGCAGTCACTAGAAAACTCCTCTAACAAGGGTGTAACTTCTACTCATCCAGAAGCTTCCTTTGTTCTAACAACACTTATATGATGTGAGGAGTCTGTCCAAGAACTCTGAAAAGCCCCTTTCCTAAGGAGAGCAGGTGTCAGGTCAGGCTCCAATTCAACCCTCCACTATTATCTACTGCCAAGTTCTTGCCAAGACAGCTACCAATTTGTTTTATGCTTAAAAATATTTTTCATATCTTTTATTTCATAAAGGTTACATAATGAATAAATCTGTTGCAGACAAGAAGACATGGATTTTTTTTAAGCCGAGGAGTAGGACACTATGGTCTTATGCCAAAATAAATATCTCAGCCCCACCCACTTAGGTCTCCAGCAGGTAGGAGCCAGGAGTTCCTCACCACAGGCCACCTTGGCATTGGGATCTTGTTTGAGATGAGCATCCAATACTGCATCACTGATCTGGTCACAGATCTTATCTGGTTAAGAAAGAGCATTCGAAGAATGACTGAAACATTAGATATAACATACCAAAGTTGTTCAAATGATTCATTATTTTGTCAGTTTACAAATAATGTTTATCTTCATAAAAGAACATATTTAAACATAAAAAAATTGGAAATACTGTAATTTTTAAAATTTTTTCCATTTTGACTAATTTTAGGCAATACAAATCATATACAGTTGTAAGTTTTCCTCAAAAGTTAACTCTCAAGGTAGCTGTTCTATAAATTGAAAGTAATTTGCACATAAGACATTAATGTACATCACTGATTTTTGTGCATTTAGGAAAGTAAATAAGAAAAACTCAAAACTCAAATGTCATTGATTCCTACACATATTCTCTTTATTCTAACATCTGGAAAAGTCCTAGAAACAGAAATTTAAGTTGCTAATTAAATCAGAAGGATCATTTGCCAATGGACAAACAGATGCACCACAAAGCAGGCTCTGTAAGACAAGAAACAATCACTATTTATAAACCATCACCCCCAGACTTTGTCCATGACAGTTCTATAGAAGAATGTGTACACACTCTTAGTTCCTTGTGGAACATTACAATAAATGTCTCTCAGACCTTATCAGTCAAGGTGGGTCTGGAAAAGTTTCAGTGTGAGCTAGGATTTGATTTTATTCTCTGCCTCAATGACTGTGGTCTGTCATGTACACTTAGTGGCATTGTGGAAAAATCCACTCTTGCTTGAAACTTTTGTGACTATAAGAGACAAAACTTTAAAAATAAAAGTAACCTGTACTTACAAATATATCTTACTTCATGTATTCAAAGTACTCACAGGGTTGGTTAGCAGACTAACAAGTTTTTAAACTGAATCCAGAACCAAACAATTCTGCTCCCAAAAGTATACAAAAAATCTATAATAAAAGATGTTAACTAATCTTCCATTAATAGTTAACACTCTAATCTTTCCATCAGAAACTGCCTGTTTCTGATGGAAAGATTAGAGTGTTAATTATGAACTGTTATCATTGATTCCACC